AGTTCTTATATTATGTAATTACTTATATAAATTAACCAATAAAGATATGAGCAAGACCTCACCTTAATACCAAAAAATAACAAATAAAAAATAATGATTTTGCTTAAACAAATACTAAAATTCAAAGTATTTGTATAAACTCAAATTATAAAATAAAATATATTCACTTTCAAGATATATTACTTACTAGTTTATTGATTTCTACTGTTGTTTGAACACAATATAGATATGGAGCTATCTTATATAAACTTAATACTGATGTACTGCATGCATATATTAATACCAATTAATAATACTTAATATAAATTTCAGAAAACCAAACTTGATAAGACAATATTTATAAGATATTGGTTATACAATGATTAATATTATAAAATTTATTTTGCCAAAGCAAATAGTTGGCTGATATGTGCTGTGCAATGCCACATTTTAGCCAACATTTGTTCTAGCAAACCAAATTTTATAATATTCATCGCATGATCCAATTTTGATATTATTGTGCAATTATAATTAAGATTAACAAGTCATTGTTGGTTAACTGAATTTTAATTCAAGATTGTTGTTCTTATGTACTATAATAATGTACTAAAAAATAACAAGAAAAACATCTATGATCATAAAAGCTTGCACAATAATATAAATTCTTATGTTTCAATTTTAATCTATACAATAAGATTAAATTACTTACGTACCAAATTTTAAAGTTATAATTTGAACTAAGTGCTTGAGTTGTTTAAGTAAGTTTAAAATAAATGTTATAAGCTTAAAACATGTATTGTATATTATAATTTGAATTAAGAGGTTAAACTTTATTGCCGTGTCTTAAAATTTTTTGGAAAAAAATTTTTTGAATCTACTAAATTCATTAAAATATATTTATATTTATATATTTATATTTTATTTATTTAAATATTTGAGAAAAATTAATGGCTTGTTTGCCTATTTATGATTTTTGTAATGGCCTTTTAAAAACTAAATATGCAAAGCTGGGTCAAGCCAATAAACATCTTCAGCATTAAATAAAAATAAAAAGCCTAATATATATACAAGTTAATAAAATAAACATCTTCAGTCATTAAATATAAATAAAAAGCCTTAAGTCTTATTAATGATTTATCAGCAGCCTAAATATCTAAAATTATTGAGCTAAATTTGTTGTTTTTACAATAATCTAATTTTGTTGTAAACATGCTTTTAGAAATAATATTTTTAATGATAGTACTAGTGATTTAATATCATTATTACCATAAATCTGGGATCTTTTTTTAGCGGAAGTAATTCAGTTTTTTTTTTTTTTTTTTTTTGTTTTTTTTTTTTAGCAGGAGCAAATCAGGTTTTTTTATTGGCTTGGGTTTCATCTTTCGTCAGCAGGATTTGAGGTTTCGTTTTTCGTAAAAAGTTTCATCATTTGAGGCTTAGGTTTCGTCTTTCGTCATCAAGCACAAAAGGTTTCCTCTAATAACTATAGAAGCAACTATTTAAAGATATTCACCCATATGTACACGATCCATATAAAGATGAGTTATGTTTTGCCCCAAAAGAAAATAATGAAAATTCAGATTCAAATTAACTAGATTATTATGTTATTACTAATATATAAATAGTACCTATTAATTCACCAGTTTCTTTAATCTTAAATATTGTAATATTTGAACCTTGAAAATCATACAATTTATGAAATGTATTAATATTTAAACTGTCTCTACTTCCATGTAATAAAGTTCAAACTTATAGAGTCTACAAGATATGTATTATAGTCATTATCTTTTTGATCAATCCAACTTGAAATTATAGTTTTATTCAGGCTGGAAAGAAAAGTAATTAGTAAGACATAAAATTAGCATTATAGATCTCACAAAAAAGTTTAATACTGTACGTACTTTTTTTTTTTTTTTATTTCTTATGCGCTTTCTTTTAATCAACTGTTTTTTTTTGTTATTCTTCATATTGAGTACATCATAAAATAAGGTTTACGATAATTTGATATCCAGAAGTCTGGAATTCTGGGGCTACTTCACCGGTTGAATGAATAATAGCAGGTTACGATTAGTGTTAGCGTTAGTACAGTAGTAAAAAGATCATAACTGATAATATACATGATCATGTGGTAATGCAGTAATCTAAATTAGAACAGAAAATCATCGTTCGCAAAAATTACTGCGTATAGAACTGTGCCAAATCAACATATGTTAAAATTTTTACTACAAATAAATCACACACTTGCGAATACAATCCAATAAAAATCTTGATTTCCGTTAGTTCGTCTCTAAGCCCCGATTTGCTGTGGAAGGACCCATTTAGAAATAAAAATATAAATAAACATACTCTTTATAAAATTTACATTTTTGGTATAGAATCTCTTTGTTTCACCTCCGTAATTTTTTTTCAATTTCTGGTACTGTATTACGAATCACAAAAGTCAATGTTTTTATTGTTTACAGGGAAAAAAAAGAAAATCGAAATACAAAATTGCTTGGCAAGAAATATATAACTAAAAAACGGAAATACAAATTTGTTTGTCAAGAAAATACAATCAAAACTGTAAAAGTTAATTTTCTTTTATGCGTGCTATATTGACCATATTACAATCCCAATAAGTAAGTTAGTACGACTATTAATCTTTTTTTAATTTTTGCACATTACACATTTATGTATAATTTGACAGTAACGGTAATACTTTCTTTTATTGGTTAATTGACGGAAAGTAAAAAGGGCCAAACAACAAGTTATAAATTAAATTATTAACGATAAAAATCTATATCGTACTAATAAATAATAGTGAAACATATGAAATGGTGGGTGCTTTAGCAAATGAGATCAATTGTGCTATGCACTAATTCTAATTATAAAAGAAATATTAAAGAAAGAAAAAAATTCTTTTTAAAAAGAAAGAATTCTAATAAATTAATTAATAATAAAAGTCATCCAACTTCTGAATATTATTCGAGTCATGATCTACTTTAATTATTATGTACTAGGACACAATGCTTTCCAGTCGGCAGGTGAGTTTAATGTCTTAATTTGATCCGGTTGCGCAACGAATTGAGAAACCAAACCAGATTGAACATGCCACTATAAATACATATATAAATATTAGAGACAAGGAAATAAATAATGAAAATTTTGAAGAGTTTTCATTATGTTGAAATTACCTCAATATGACAATGGAATCCCCATACACCAGGGTTATCCGATACAAATCGGAGAACGGCCCATCTAATGACAAAATAAAATTATTTTAGTTAAATTTATTTAAATCAAGCATAAAAAAAGCTAAAAATTAACATACCCTCCAGCAGGAACAGTCGTGGTATCCCGCTGTATAGGATCATTGGCGTTTAATTTATTTTTATCTGGTTTGGTGCCATTGACACCCGAGCCAAGGAGCCAAAACACATGACCGTGCTAATATTAAATTAGGAATCATTTAATCGATACTTATTTACTTATTAATTGTTTGTTAATTATTTCATTACTAAAAATACGTACCAAGTGGAAAGGATGTTCGCCAGTGTCTAGGTCTAATTAATTAAAACAAATATATAATTTGATTAATGATAAAACAAAAAATAAGACATTTTTAATACATTAATTTGTAAAAATTAATATTAATTATTCATACTTATTAAAATAATATCCACAACTGAATTTTTTTCAACCAAGAAAACGTTTTGATCAGCGGCAAATTGCGTCACACCATTATAGACCTTCATAATTGTAGGATTATTTGTGTCTATCTTATAAGTTGAATTGTTTATATATCCCAATGTGACATTATTACTATCTGGTTGGAAAAGAACCTGTACAGTAAAGTTAAGGTCTGCTTGAGGAACTTTTTGAGGGTTATAAGGCTTTAGATTTGAAGCATCCAAATCCGTACAATTTTTAACTTTGTCAGTCCAAGCAGTTGATGATGGACTCTGATCAGTACTGCCATTATATGTAACAATGGCTTTTACTAGAGGATTGAGACTGGGTGACACAACAGCATAACATGCAGTTTCCATTTCTGCACGCATCCAATACGATTTTACGGGTTTATCTGCCGTTACAATAACCGAATAACGCTGCGCGATATTAATAGGGAGGCGATGGACTGTGTAACGCTGGGTCATCATTCCTTCAACTTCAATTACATCCATAGGATGATCATCGATCGAGAAAATGAAGGCAGAAAATGCTCTATTGGCAAATGAATGTTAAATTTAAATAAACTATGGTGATGACAAAAAAAAAGAAAAGAAACATACGAGGTATTAATGATTCTAATTCTATATTTTTTACCAGAGACGAAATTAAACTGTGATAATGATGCATTATTAACGCAATTGCTACCAGCTGGCGCCGATGAACAGTTATAAGAATTTTTTCCATTAATCAATCCGTTATCAGGAGATGGTTCATTTCCTTGACTTGCAGGAGTCAAGAAACTAGCCAATAAAGTTGGAGAATCAGTATGGTACCAATCCTGTAACAATACGGTTATTTCTTTATCGTAATCCTTTGTATAAGGATCAGCAGGATCATGAACTATAAGAGGTCCAACCAATCCTTCGATATATTGACCTCTTGAATGTGAATGACTATTTTTTTTTTTTTAAGAAAAAAAATCATATAATAAAAAACAAGTTGTTTTAAGTTATGTGCATATATTTGACAACTCATGACTATTTTAAGATACTTACTACCAGTATGTCCCACTTTGATTCACAGCAAATGTGTAGGTGAATGATCCTCCTGATGGAATTCCACATTGAGTTTGTCCAGGAACGCCATCGTACCAAGGAGTCCCGCGTTGGAAGATTCCATGGGAATGAATTGTAGTATCTTCATTTAATTGATTGTTGACATTTATAACTAACGTGTCACCTTTATTACACTCGATTGAAGGACCAGGAAATTGACCATTTATGAGATAAATATCTCGACTGAAACCATCAGGTGCAAAGCTTCCTTTACTGATAGTAAGATTAAAAACTTTTTCACTACCCGTTTGAGCGTCTCTCGGTAAAATTGGTGAAGATATAGATGTATTTGGAAGGAATAAAATGAATGAATAAAAAAAAATGGAGACCAGAGTCGAAATTTTCTGGAAATGCATTTTTTGATCAAGAAGTTGGAGACAAAATAAATAAAAAAAAAGAAGGAAAAGAAAAAAAAAAACAAAGTAAATTAGAAGGAAGAAAGCCTGTTTATATACGTAAAATATAAAATGGCACATACTTACCGTTAGAATAGTATCAAGAGTATCTTATCACAAGTACATTGTACTTTATGAAACTAACTTGTTTTACAATAACGGGCAGAAATTTTATATACCGCTTGTGTAATGTTTATTTATTTACATCACATTTTTGATTGAAGTAATTTCCATGTACTGTACATGCGTACATGCTTTATTATCTGTTATGTTTCTTGTTACGAAAACGACAGTATCAGATATGTAACAAAGATAAGTATTTGAGGGTATGTAATCATAATAGCTTTTACCATAATATGAAGAATTTATGTTTGTTTTTAGACCAACTGCATACAGTATTTACGTACGTACGTACATTGTAACAAAAATAAAAATATAGAGTATTTTTTTTGACAAAAAGTGTACGTATGCATGTATTGTACGTAATATGCATATTATCATTTATGCATGTTGGATTAGGAAAAAAAAATTCATCCTAATTTTAAAATTAAAAATAGGGATGGTAAAAAAAAAAAGGAACATTTTAAAATCTCCTTAAAATATCAGAGCAAATTTAAATTCTGTTGAGTTTGACATTATTCATTCTTATCTTGCGCATTCGCTGCTTTTCATATTTCAATAAGAGATCCTTTTAATAAATCAATAACAATAAATTAATAAATTTCATTTAAAGGTTTTTCACAAAACATAATTACTAAATATAATGTATAAAATAGTAAAATCGTTAATTAATTATCATGATGACTATTTTAAAATGTATTAAAAGTATTTAAACCCATTTTAAAGCCAAATTATCACATTTTTTAAGCATTCGCATAAAATAATACCCATGATAAAAACTTGGATATTATTTACCACTTTTACCAGTTTGGTTTTGAATACATTTAGATTAATTTTGTTATTTTATAAGTAATTGATTCAATGTCGAATTATTTTCATTCTTTTTTCTTATTGATTATTTTTTAAAATTTGAATAAGACAAAAGAAATTTAGCAAAAGTTAATTATAGCTCTCTTTAGGTCTTTTATTATAATATATGAATCATTTTTCTAGTAGTACATATTGTTGAAATCATCTTTTTGTCTATTAGCGAGATTTTATATTAATTAAATTAGTAGACATTATTATAAAAGCTTTTTTATTTACAGTATTTTACCCTCTATTTCTTAAATCAAGCTTTTATTTTTATTGTTAAAAGTTGTCTTATTGCTTAAGATTTCTAATTTTTTTTAATATATATTTTTAATAAATTTATCACATTGAAGCTATAGAATTGGTAGAACGGTAACGAAATCATATTTAGCTTCTATTGTCTACAATTAACACATAACAGAGAATGAGTTCGGAATAACAGTTATTAGGCAATAATCACGTTGTTTATACAATATAACAATTCAACAAATTCTAACAGGATGTAAATCTATTCTAAACCTAAAATAAACGAATACTAATATTCACAGTAAGAAAACTAATTTTAACAAATATATAACGTTACAAAATCAATATCACAAGAATGAATTCTTTCAAAATTTATTTATTTTTTTTTAAAACGCTGTATATTTAAAATTCCTTTAACAGCTCTTCTGCTATTTCAATATGTTATTAGAAGAAAATCATTACCATTATGTACCACCCATTACGATCCCATGATCATAATTTTTTTATTGCAAATTTCATTTCTTTTTTATTAGTTATCTTTACCGAACATTTTGAAAATGCAAATGAAGACAAAACATGTGATAGAAATGTTTAGTAACACAAGTCCTGTCAAGTCATCATATGAAACGATGAGAAAATGAAACATTTCTCCAACGACGCATATATGAGCGCTAAACCCCCACTATGCAACTGAGGGATATTTCACTTTTCTCGCCAGATAGTATATATATTACTAGATTAACTTAGTTATTCAGGTAAATTATACTTTGACCATATAATAATAGTTTTCTATCGAATCCGACAACGTACGTATTCAATGTCAACAACAAATATAAATGTAGCATGAAAATCCTAAACAGTGTGCAAAATTTTGTTTTCCATTTACGTACTCACGTGTAAATATGTAGCTGTGTAACATTGTCAAAAAAATTTATTACAGTAATAAGATTCAGATACTCACGTGGTTAATGGTCAATCCGTCCTCGCCAGTATTTAAAAATATCCATACGAGCAGAAAGTTGTAACTAAGTAATAATTTTTCTTATATCACACTCAATAGAACTTTGAACTTTAAGGATTTTTTAATGTAATCCGATCTGGAATTAATCAGAAAAACTTTCAAAATACTGTTAATATGAAAATACCGAAAATCAATGATTTACCTATTGAATAACGGTAATATACAAATTAAGAAACTCATATGAGATTTTTTTATCCTTTTTTCTTTTTTTTTATCTGTTGTGTGTGGTATTGTATGAATATTTGCATAATGTACCAACGTCTTAGTAAGGGAAAAAAAAAGTATCTTTTCTTGGCATGACTCAGATGCCGAACAGACCATTTGAGTTATTTTTGCTAGTACAGTAGTAAACATTTCAAATAAAGTCGAACCAATTAATTGATCGGGATGATCGAGGTTGTACTACAAGAATCTTGACACAAAATTTTAATTTAACTATTTTGTTTAATACTTTTTTTAGTACGTACGTACGTACGTATATAATGTACCGGCACTAGGGATGTTAATCGGTGCCGCAGTAATTGTCAGCCGACATTGAACAAGATTAATAAAAAATTGACATTTTTAACCGGCATTCGTCCAATAAATAAAGTCATAGAAAAAAAATTTTTCTATTACATTTTCTAATAGAGGTTTATCGATTTTTGCATTAGTCTTTGAGTAATTTTGCTGGGACCGATTAGGGACCGAACAGTGTAGAGAAATTTTAGCTAACCAGTCCCTAATCGGTCCCATTTAAATTACGTAAAAACCAATGCAAAAACCGATAAGCTTCTATTAGAAAATGTAACAGAAAAATTATTTTTCTATGACTTTATTTACTGGACGAATACCGGTTAAGAATGTCAATTTTTTATAAATCTTGTTCAAAGTCGGCTGACAATTACTGCGGGACCGATTACGTAACATCACTAACCGGCACTATCAGTCATCCGATTTTTCGCTGATCATGTATGTAATGATAAAATTATTTTTTTTAAAAAAAAATTTCTATTATTTATTTATAAACCATCAGCTAACTAAATAGGTTTAAATTGCAATTTATATTAACTGAATAGTTTATAATTCATATCTCTAATTACGATTAGTAAATAATGCACAAAAATAAAATTGTTACTTTCAATTTGAAAGCATTTCATATATCGAACATAATCCAATTTTATCATGTGAAGTAATTTAATTGTAATTTTATGAGAAATTTTAATTCACAAAGTATCGTAGCTTTTTTAATTTGATAAATATTGCTTAATTTGAATTATTTAAATTTCAGAAACTTGAATGATTTAAGTTTTGCATCAAAATGTTGTCACTTGTATTATGATGTTTTGATAAAAAACATAAATACCAAATAGCTAATACTCATTATTTTTAAGCACAGTAATGATTAATCTCACAACTAAGAATTTAAACAATTATATATTTCTATGATTAATGATTTAAACAACAAACATACAAGCTTTTTTATAATTCTTTTGAGTCTATTACCAGTTATAATAAAACAGGATTTAAAGATGATGCAAAATATAAAATAAAAAAATACTTGTAGAATGTATAAATGTAAATAATTGGTAATTATTAAAAATTAATAAATAAAAAAAATAACAATAGAACATTAATAATATCTCTTAACACTTTTACTAAGTTAGACCTAGATACTTTATTTTCATAAATATCTAAGAAAGTAGAAGCAGCATTTGCTAATTTTATCTCTTTCATTAGATAATTTGAATAATCTGAAATGTCATACTGATAAGGAATAATTGATATCAAATTGTTTAATCTTAATTCTAAAGTAGTTTTGTGTTTTTCAACCAAGACTTTAGCTAATATTATTATTCTGTTGAAATTATATTGTTCTTCAAAACAAAACATTCAAAAAGATTAAAGTACTGTTTTTGCAAAATGTATCTGCCAATACTTTACTTTATTATTAGCAAATTGATTATATAAAAAATTTAGATAAGTTAAAACATTGTTTTCACAAAGAGTATTTACTAGTTCTTTTATTTTTTCAAAGCCAATTTTATTTGATAAAGTGCATTTGTTAATACTTTTTCTTACTTAAAACCAAGTTTACAATGATTAAGATTTAAAAAAATCAAAGTAGTATTTCTGCAAAAAGTATTTTTTAATACTTTTTAATCTTTAAAACCAAGATTATTATACAAAAGATTTAAAGAAATTAATAGGTTATTTTGCAAAGAACTTATGCTAATGTTTTTATTGCATTATAACTAAAATAATTATTTTTAAGATATTCTAACAATTGAATATAGGATTCATAATATTGTTATTCTATATTCTATATGTATTAAGATTCTGGAAAATACCTGACAATCACCAAGTACAAGGCTTATCTCTCTTGCTCCACTCTTATCAGTACACTACTTTAGTGTTGTTAACTAGAAGCTACTAGAAGACAACTAGAACTCCACTAGAAGAAAATTAATAGTACTACTGGAACTTTTACTATTAAAATTTCTACTGGAAGACTGAAAATTACTATTGGAAGCAAAAATTTTTTTTTTTTTTTTTTTTTTTTTTTTAATATTAAGGTAACCACTTAGGTTCCCGGCACTTAGCTTTATTCAGATAAATATGATATTACATCAATTTTACGAGGATACAACTAGTCACACGTGTACTTTTGGTACCTAATTTAAGTAGTCCACCTGGGTTCTACACTAGCTGCCATATCTGCAACCTAACTAGGAGATTACCT